TCTTTCTCCCGCGGAGCGGCTGGTAGTTTCGAACTGCTGGCCTTAAGGTTCGCAGCCCGATTCGTAACCACTACGCTACCAGAGCTCCTTAGCATATGTAAATTAATTGTAAGGATAAAAGCTGCCTCAGCGCTGTGGGCTAATGCGTCAGACTGCAAAGTCGTTTGAACTGCAAGGTCAATGGTTTAAGCTCACCAGCTGCTCCTTGGAAACCCTATACAGGGTCGCTATGTGTTGAAATCGACTCAATGGCACTTAACAACAACAAAAGTGCTTGAAAAGTTTGTTCTTGTCAACATTCTCTATGCTTTTCAAATTCCAGCCCAAATTTAAGCATATTGGGAATGAATGGGATAATTAACAAGGAAGCTATAAAGGAGGACACAGAGAGTCTCTTACATTTGGTGTCTAAGGGGAAATGACAACCCGGCATCACTGACAGGATGACAAACCACAGCCCTACCTGACCTGGAGACTGTGGGCAATACTGTACTTATACCAATGGTCTCAAGTTCAGAGAGGAAAAGCATCAGAAAACCTGGAGTCTTCTGTTTTTAGTAGAGTCTAAAGATTCTAGCAGTCACCACCTGGAATCCAGAAATGTGGCCAGACTGGGAGTGGAGAAAGTGGCAGGCCGACACACCATGGGATGGAAGTCACGTGGTCCTCTGTACAGGCATCTGAGAAGCTGTCACAGCATCTGTCCCAGCAGCAGGACATCCTTCAAACACCATACCAGTTTGCCATCTAGACACAGTGGAGGAGAAATAGAGATGAGACAGAAATGGACACACTCTGGTCTCCCACTGTCCACCCCAATGTGCACCCATGAAAAGTGGGGGGAGGTGCATAGCACAGGAGATCAACCAGCATTCTGGGCGCGGCCTGGACAGCCATCACTATTCCCCTTCCTACACGGAGGAACAGGGTTCTTCAGGCTTTCACCTGCTGAGTGGACTCTGCTGAATCTAGGACCAACTCTCACCCACATCCCCTTTGAACCTTCCTTAATCCCAGCTGTTCTTCATGACTCCAGCCCCACCCTCCCTCCATTCCACTCATTCCTCAAAAAATGACAATGTCACATACCACATTGCTGAGAAGGACAAGAATGCAAGAACTATCACGACCACCACAGAGCCCAGTCCAACACCCACCATCTGCTGCAGTGTGAGGGATGAATCTGCAGAACAAAATCACATTCTGAGCTGAGCAGATGTCACCAAATCATGGCACTGTTGGGAGACACACGTCCAGCTGTGCTTGTTCCATTGTAACCCAAAGCTTGGTTCCAATTAATCAACAATCCCAAGAATGCCCAGGATGCCTTTGGGCCCTGTGTGCCCGCTCTGAGGATGTTGAACCTCAGGAAACCACAGCGTCAGCATTTAAAATTTTTTTTCTGAAAAGAAGTATAGAACTGGCCACATTCATGCTACAAGGGAGAGAAAAGTTTGAACATACAAACACTACACACTGTGTTGGCTTTCGATGGTTCTCTCAAGTCAATTATGTTGAATAGATTTTTTAGAAGCATTCATTCTTTATATTGAGGAAGAAATTATTCTGACATTATTTGAATTTCTCCTCCAAAAAGTGATAGCTAACGCTGGTGGTCAACATATAGCAAGCAAAGATATTCTGTTGAAAAGTAGTTAAGAGTCATTGAGTCAATTCCAACTCATAGGGTTTCTGAGGAGGGGCTGGGAGTTCAAACCAGCGACCTTGTGGTTCAAACCGACCTTGTAATCTAGTGCTTATCCCACAGCACCACGATAGTCATCCCATATTTCAACGAAGAAGGAACCACCTGCTCTGCTCAGCAGGTTTCTGTGAGAATAAGTTAAACTGATGTAAAATCTCTTTGAAAGACATATGTTATACTTGGGAAGCATCACACACCAATTCCAGGGAGATCCCTGGTTATAGTCAAAAACATCTGCTAATTGCACATTTGGACCAAGTGACTAGATCAGACCATCATGTTGTAGACTAGAAGACAGATCTGATTTTAAGCTGCAAACACTTATATAGCGCTTAATGTGTTTAGGCATTGTTCTAAGCAACTCATAAATATTAAGTCATTTAGTATCTTAACCATTCTTTATACTGGGCACTAGTCTTATTCACATTTTATAGATGAGGAACCCAAGGCATGGAGTGTCTAAGCAATTTGCCCAAAGCCACCAGCTAGTAAATGACAGAGCCAGGATTCAAACCTAAGCTGTCTACCTACAGACACTGTGTTTCTGAGTATAGCAACCATGCTTTCCAGTACTTAACAGATCTGCATGGAGCCCTGCCTGCCACAGAGCATACTCTTTCCACCCAGAAGTCTTAAGGGGTCATGCCCAGACCTTTTCTGCAAAAGCTAATGAAGGCAGGACCTTGGGTTGTAGCAGTTCAAGTTTTCTCTTTGGAAGAAGCAAAAATCTGCAGGCAATGATTCTAAGTCATTGGAAAGAAGATGGCGGCTGACTCTACATGTATCGAATTAAAATAAATAAAGCCATGGAAGTAAGGAAGTGCAGACATATCCAAATTATTGCAGATGATTATACGTTGTTATTATTTCATTTTGGGGGCCCCCTTTTGCCGATGCTCCAGGGGGAGGTGCTTAGTCTGCCCATGGAGTAATCTAGTACTGCCTTCCTTGAAAGAGCTGTAAACAGCAAATGCAAAGACCTACTGCTGTAAACTGGGGGTGGAGGAGGACTTGAGAAGAAAAATAGTAGCCCCTCAATGTAAGGAACCCTTCAAAACATAAGTAACTTGCTCTCCTGGCAGTGAATGAAGCACATTTGAAAACAGTTCAAACTGCTTAACCTTTTCTTCATCTAATCTGCACTGTCCATATGGTAACCATTAGCCACATATGGCTATTTCAAAGTTAAATTAAAGTTAAATTAAATTTAAAATTCAGTTCCTCAGTGATATGGTTGAGCTGTGTCCCCCTAAAAGTGTTGTAAATCCTAACTCCTATACCTGTGGTTAGGAGTCCTGGTGTGGTGCCACAGGATAAGCAATGGACCTCAAGGTTGATTTGAACCACAAGGTTGGCAGTTCAAACTCACCAGCTGCTCCTTGGAAACCCTATACAGGACTGCTGTGGGTCGGAACTGACTGGACTCGACGGCACTTAACAACAACACTATAACTGTGGTTAAGGAGTCCTGCTAGTGCACTGGTTAAGTGCTTGGCTGCTAACTGAAAGGTTTGTGGTTCAACCCCACTATCGGTTCACTACAGCAGAGAGTTGTGGCAGTTTGCTTCCATAAAGACCACAGCTTTGGAAACACCAGGGGGTAGTTCTAACCCCACTTAGAAATGGGGCCTCTTTGTTACATTAATGAGGCAGTATTAATGCCCAGTGTGTTTTGAGTCAGATTAAGGAAACAGAGGTGAGAAAAGACAGATGAAGACACCACATGAAGATCACCGAGCTGAAAAGACACTCAACTGGAAGAGAATGCCCTCCCCTAGTGCCTGCCCTGAATGTAGACTTCTAACCTCCTACACTGTGAAAAACGAAATGTCCGTTGTTAAAGTCACTCACTTGTGGTATTTCTGTTACAGCACCACTAAATAACTAAGTCATACTAGCCACATTTCAAGTGCCTAAAGACACATGTGACCAGTGGCTACCATATCGGACAGTACAGATTTAGAACATATCATTGCAGAAAGTTCTCTTGGTCGCTGCTGCTCATATCTCTTCAACCAGGTTAAGAACAGTTTGGTTCTACTAGAAATTCCACAGTGTGCTTGACACCAGCAAGAGCAGCCATGAAACACACCGCTTGTTAAATATCCAGAATAAAAGGGCTTTGACCTTCTTAAAGTATCAAGCTATAAAATGCAAGGAGGAAGCATGGCTAAAATAGAAATTAGTAAAGAAAAAAATTGAGGGAGTGACTAGATATTAAAACAGTATAAAATCTGCATAGGAATACATTGGAATAAAATGAAAAGTCTAGAGACTCAAAATAACTTCAAAGGTTGAACACTGCAGTCAGTTTCCCCAAATCTGTATCTTCAGACCACCACTCCCTAGTGTTGTGATTTTAGACAAGTTATCAGACATGGGGAAGATAACCAATATTATCCACCATGTAGAATTATTTAAGAAACAAATGAGTTAACACATGTTAAAACAGTGCCTGACTAAGCAATAAGCAAATATTATTGTTTTCTTATTACTAATAAAATATTTGTTTTATTGCTTAAAATAAATCTAACCAGGGATGTAAAACAGCTATATGAGGAAAACTACAAAACACTACCACATTTTAGTTCTCTAAGCAGCACCATGGTAGTTGACAAGAACAAGTTCCTTATAAAAGGTGGTAAAAAAGGAACCAAAAAGAAAGTGGTTGATCCATTTTCTTAAAAAGATTGGTATGGTATAAAGGCACCAGCTATGTTCAATATAAAAAATACTGAAAAAACACTAGTCACAAGGACTAAAGGAACCAAAATTGCCTCTGATAACCTTATGGGTCATGTTTTTGAAGTGAGCCTTGCTGATCTGCAGAATGATGAAGCTGAATTGAGAAAATTTAAACTAATTACTGAGGATGTTCAGGGCAAAAACTGCCGAACCAACTTCCATGACATGAATGTCACACAATGGCAGACCATGATTGAAACTCATGTTGGTGTCAAGGCTACTAGTGGTTATTTGCTTCATCTGTTCTGTGCTGGTTTTACCAAAAACCTTCCACAACCAGATTTGGAAGACATCTTATGCACTGCACCAACAGGTCTGCCAAATCTGGAAGAAAATTATGGAAATCATGACCTGAGAGATGCAGACAGATGATTTGGAAGAAGTAGTCAATAAACTAATTCCAGACAGCACTGGAAAGGACAAAGAAAAGTCTTCGCAGTCTATTTTACCCTCTCCATGATGTGTTTGTTAGGAAAGTAAAAACACTGACAAAGTCCAAGTTTGAGTTGGGAAAACTCACGGAGCTTCATGGTGAAGGTAGGAGTTCTGGAAAAGCTACTGGAGATGAGACCAGTGCTAAAGTTGAACAAGATGACACCTATGAGCTACCAGTTAAGAATCTATTTAAAATTCAGACTTTTAATGATAACAAATTAAAGATCTTATGTGTGTGTGTGTGTGTGTGTGTGCAACAAAACACTACTATAAGAAACCAAAAGAGATCCTCATAAATGGAAGAACATACCATGCTCATGGATTGGGAGAGTTAATATTAGGAAAGTATCAATGCTAGCCAAAGTGAACTATATATAGAACGTAATTCTGATTCAAATCCCAACAATATTCTTTAATAAAATGGAAAAAACTAATCTCAAATTTTATGTGAAAAGGAAAGAGACCCCAAATAGCTAAAGAATTGCTGAAGAAGCAGAACTAATTAGGAGGCCTCACACTTCCCAATCTCAGAATTTACTATTCAACCATAGCAGTAAAAACAGCCTGGAAAAAAAAAACAAAAAACAGCCTGGTACTGGTACAATGACAAACACATAGACCAATGAAACAGAACTGAGAACCCAGCTGATCTTTGTTTATGGAATAATTCTATTATTTTTTCATTTCATTTTTCCACAAATTTTTGGAAACCCCCTCATGTATCCTAGAGAAATAAGTGTGGTGACAGAAATAGACATACATACATCCATGTTCAATGCAGCATTATCCACAATAGCAAAAAGATGGAAACAAAGGTGTCCATCAACAGAATGGATAAGGAAAACATGATACATTCATACAATGGTATATTAAGCAATGATAAAGAATAATAACAAGTATGTAAAATAGCTTATGAATGTATCTAGAGGACATTACATGGAGTGAAATAAGTTAATCACAAAAAGACAATCACTTTTATAAAAAGTCAATAATAGGCTTACACACAGAAAGTAACATTCTTTGATGGTTACTAGGGAGAGAGCTAGGGAATCTCTTACTAGACAGTGTGGTTAAGTGCTGTCAAGTCTGTTCTGACTTAGAACAACCCTATATGATTACCAAGACTGTAAATCTTTCAGAGAAAAAAAGTCTCATTTTTCTTCCATGGATCAACTGATGGCCTCAAACCACTGACCTGTGGTTCACAGACCAGGGCTTATCCTAAAGAGCCACCACGCTCCCTACTAGACAGCAGGTGAGTGTTAATTCTAGTGAGGGACAAGAGAAAAGTTAGAACA